GTATTGATGGACAGAATCACCAGGCAATGGACACCGAGAAGGGCAGGGGAGGCGTGTCCGTCGGGGGAACTCAGCTGTAAGCCAATCAACGTTGGAGTTCGGTGACGCTCGCCGCTCTATAATAATGATTGATGCTCGATTTGACCAATAGCTGCAAGAGAGAGGCGTGACCTGAAGGCATGGTACATGCCTGCTGTGTGTTGGGGATGATGTGGTCCAGCAGGATACAGGCAGCCAGCAGTGAGGAGACATTGATTGGTAGGCTGGCACAGCGCCACACACCTTGTGTGGCCACTTCAGGAACAGCATCGTAGGCAATGCATCACCAGAGCCTGCAGCTGCTGCAGAACCGCTTGGGGGAGGAAAGGTCACCCAACAACCACCCTGATTTGGCCTCATGGACTTTAACCCTTTCGCTGCCACAGCCATTGTTGCTTTTTTTCTTTTTTTTTTTTTTTAAATAAAATTATCTTTAACAAAATCTTTTTAGGCCTGAAGATGACATCAAACCCCCAAAACGTGATCTACTTTCTGAAAGTGTCAGTAAAAGTGCACTAAGATCCATTCCAGGGCACACAGATATAATACATTTCCCAATTTGTCTGTAAAATATAAAAGACAAGGTTGTCCCGAGTATATTGATACCCAACATGTCATACCTGAACCCCTTCCCTACCCGGCACCACCACCCCCCCCTTCCTGCCCGGGACAATGTACAGCTTTCGGCGCTGTCTCACCGTCAATGACAATTGCGCGGTCATGCAACGCTGCACCCAAAGGACATTTTTATAATTTTTTGTGAGACAAATTGAGCTTTCTTTTGGTGGTATTTAATTGTTTTATTTTTTGCTAAACAAACTGAAAAAAAAAAAACAGAAAATTTTGAAAAAATAAAGTTTTTTTCTTAGTTTTTGTTATAAAAATTTTGTAAATAAGTAATTTTTCTCCTTTACTGATGTGCGCTAATGAGGCTGCAGTGATGGGCACTGAAAGGCAGCACTGAAAGGCGGCACTGACTGGCACTGTTAGGCGGCACTGATAGGCAGCACTGACGGGCACTGATAGGTGGCACTGACTGGCATTGATAGGTGGCACTGGCTGGCAGCACTGATTGGCATTGATAGGTGGCACTGGCTGGCAGCACTGATTGGCATTGATAGGTGGCACTGGCTGGCACTGATGGGTGACACTGAAAGGCAGCTCAGATGTGCACTGATATGTGGCATTGATGTGCACTGGTAGGCACTGATATGTGGCACTGATGTGCACTGGTAGGCACTGATAAGTGGCATTGATGTGGCACTGATGGGCAATGGCAGGTGACATTTAAAATAAAAATATATAGCGAGCGCTCAGGGAAATCAGCAGCTGAAACACTTCAAGGAATCATCGGACCTCACAACAGAAATATAGTATACATATAGTGCAGCGCTGTGATGTGATTCAAAACAACATGTTTTTATAACAGTTCATCAAGTCTTTAGTCACATTAAAATCAAAATAAGTGCAGGCCTTCTCCTCATCAGGTGACTGGAAAACAATAGAAATGCGCACTCACCGACCGCACATATCAAATGCGCCTGTATGTGATCTTATCCAGAGAACCAGCCAAGCATGCAGCTCCAGAACATATATGGATCCTCCCTCTCAAGCACTGACATCAACCTCGGGTGCAGTAGTACCTCCAGATCCAGAGACCCTTTGGCCCCAAATGATAGGCAGACTAGGATCCCCCTCGTGGCTCCAGGCACCCCAAAAACGGGAGGTGTAGATCTGCAACCCTCCAACCGGAGAGTCAGGGAAAGAAAGGGGTACGCCAATAGTGTGGTAGGTTCAGAACTTTATTGTAGCAACATTCATAAAGCCAGGGTCACATATACATACATACACTACAAGCCATTGAGCAGACAGGTAAGTATGAAAGGAAATTGGTACTAACCCGGCAATGATAAAGATTAGAGACCACTGGACCTCCTCGTGGTCTCAGTGGTCAGGAAGTCACACTTGCTAATGGGTCCTCCTGAGGCCTTTCGTGCCAAATGCACTTCATCAGAGGATGGACACCACTCCAGATATGGGGTCAAGATGTAGAAGACCTGTGAGAGGACAACAGGCTATACCAGGGGCGGACTGACAACTCATGGGGCCCCCGGGCAATAGGGGATCATGGGGCCCCCGTGTACTTGCCCAAACTCAAAAAAGCCTATGAAAAAAGGTACCAGGGGCATCTCATGGGGCCCCCTACTGACCCCGGGCCCTCAGGCAGTGCCCGAGTTTCCAAATGGTCAGTCCGCCCCTGGGCTATACTTATAAGTTTTGGATTTAAAAGGGAAAAGATAGTCACGTGGAGCCCCCCTGGATGCCCAGACTACATGTGGAGCATTGGCAAGATAGTTTGGGACCTGGTGTCATCATTTCTCCATATGGGGTACCACTTATACGTGGACAATTTTTATTCAAGCGTGCCACTATTTAGACATTTATTCAATCTTGGAACTGGCACTTGTGGCAAAGTGTGACCTAATGTGTGCCCACCATTAGAAGTGGGTGGATGCAGGGCGGTATATTCTAATGGTGGGCATACCACACACTTTTTCTGGCAGAGATTTCTTCTCATATTTCATTCAGTCCACTGGCTGCATACAAAAAAAAAAAAAGAACATAGTATATATGACCAGCGATGTCCTGGTACATCACTGGATTTGAAGGGTTATACCAGGATGATGCCTACAGCTGCAGGCATCATCCTGGTGTCGTTTTTTTCAGCCGGTCATCGGCTTTCATGTAAAAGCAATCCTAGTGGCTAATTAGCTGCAAGATTGCTTTTACAAGCAGTGGGAGATGATGGAGAATATACCGCCCCTGCATCCACCCACTTCTAATGGTGGGCACACATTAGGTCACACTTTGCCACAAGTGCCAGTTCCAAGATTGAATAAATGTCTAAATAGTGGCACGCTTGAATAAAAATTGTCCACGTATAAGTGGTACCCCATATGGAGAAATGATGACACCAGGTCCCAAACTATCTTGCCAATGCTCCACATGTAGTCTGGGCATCCAGGGGGGCTCCACGTGACTATCTTTTCCCTTTTAAATCCAAAACTTATAAGTATAGCCCAGGGGCGGACTGACCATTTGGAAACTCGGGCACTGCCTGAGGGCCCGGGGTCAGTAGGGGGCCCCATGAGATGCCCCTGGTACCTTTTTCATAGGCTTTTTTGAGTTTGGGCAAGTACACGGGGGCCCCATGATCCCCTATTGCCCGGGGGCCCCATGAGTTGTCAGTCCGCCCCTGGTATAGCCTGTTGTCCTCTCACAGGTCTTCTACATCTTGACCCCATATCTGGAGTGGTGTCCATCCTCTGATGAAGTGCATTTGGCACGAAAGGCCTCAGGAGGACCCATTAGCAAGTGTGACTTCCTGACCACTGAGACCACGAGGAGGTCCAGTGGTCTCTAATCTTTATCATTGCCGGGTTAGTACCAATTTCCTTTCATACTTACCTGTCTGCTCAATGGCTTGTAGTGTATGTATGTATATGTGACCCTGGCTTTATGAATGTTGCTACAATAAAGTTCTGAACCTACCACACTATTGGCGTACCCCTTTCTTTCCCTGACTCTCCGGTTGGAGGGTTGCAGATCTACACCTCCCGTTTTTGGGGTGCCTGGAGCCACGAGGGGGATCCTAGTCTGCCTATCATTTGGGGCCAAAGGGTCTCTGGATCTGGAGGTACTACTGCACCCGAGGTTGATGTCAGTGCTTGAGAGGGAGGATCCATATATGTTCTGGAGCTGCATGCTTGGCTGGTTCTCTGGATAAGATCACATACAGGCGCATTTGATATGTGCGGTCGGTGAGTGCGCATTTCTATTGTTTTCCAGTCACCTGATGAGGAGAAGGCCTGCACTTATTTTGATTTTAATGTGACTAAAGACTTGATGAACTGTTATAAAACATGTTGTTTTGAATCACATCACAGCGCTGCACTATATGTATACTATATTAATGGCAGGTGACATGGATGAGCACTGAGAGCTGGCACTGATGGACACTGACAGGTGGTACTGCTGGGGCTACACTGATCATCAAGGCACACTGATCATCAGTGCTCTGATGATCAGTGTACATGTCCCCTCCACGGAAAGCCGATTACAGGCTCTCCTCTCCTCACGAGCTGACGGCTCGTGAGGAGAGAAATGCCAGTAACCGGCATTTCCCTGTTTACATGCGATCATCTGTGATTGGACACAGCTGATCACATGACCGAGCTGACATCTTCGGCTCTTTCCGTGAATCGGTGATCCTCTGTGTCCGAGGGACACAGTGCACCGGCGATCGCCGCGCTGTGCGCTCCCGGAGCCACGCATGCGCGGTGAGAATGGGAGGACATCATATGACGTCCTCTCAGAACGAGAGAGAACCACCTCGTGGACTATATGGCGGGCGGGAGGCGGTTAAAACAGTAAAAACCTTGCCAGACCATTTGCATGGAAACCCATTACGGTTTCCGAATTTAAAGTTTTTTTGGGCCTAACCCTCAACATGGGCATTAATAATAAAAAAATCAATTGCGGTTGTATTGGTCTACAGACCCGCTTGTTCACATGTCCGTGTTCTCTGCTGCCATGGCCAGGCATAGATATGAGACGATAATGCGTTTTATGCACTTCTACGTCAACACACTCAGTCGTCCTCGGGGTGACCCTGAATTTGACCGGCTCCACAAAATTCGGCCCCTCGTAAATCACTTTAAGCTAAAATTTGCAGATGTGTATACTCCCCATAAAAACATCTGCATCGATGAGTCCCTCATTCAATATTCTGGCCGCCTTCTAATCAAACAATATCTCCCCAGCAAGCGTGCCACATATGGGATCAAGATGTATAAGACCTGTGAGAGGGCAACAGGCTATACATGTAAGTTTCGGATTTACAAGGGAAAAGATAGTCACTTGGAGCCCCCAGGATGTCCAGACTACATGGGGAGCAGTGGCAAGATAGTTTGGGACTTGGCGTCATCCTTTTTCCATATGGGGGTACCACTTATACGTGGACAATTTCTTATTCAAGCGTGCCACTATTTAGACATTTGTTCAATCTGGGAATTTGCGCATGTGGCACTGTGCGATCTAATCGCCGGGGCTTCCCCCAACGGCTTGTAAATACCCGTCTTAAAAAGGGGGAAAAAGCCTGCTTGAGAAATGAAGAATTGCTCGCAGTGAAGTGGAAGGACAAACGGGATGTATACCTCCTGTCTTCCATTCACGCAGATACGACCGTCCAAATTACCACGGCAGCTGGTGTTGTTGAGAAGCCCCTCTGTGTCCACGATTATAACCTTAACATGGGAGGGGTGGACTTCAACGACCAGATGATGCAGCCGTATTTAGTTTCCCGAAAAGCCAAACGCTGGTACATAAAAGTGTCAGTTTATTTATTTCAATTGGCTGTATATAACGCTTTTGTTCTCTATAAAGCAACTGGACATAGTGCAGGGGTGGGCAAACTTTTTGACTTGAGGGCCGCAATGGGTTCATATATTTGGACCCGGGGGCCGGACCAAGAGTAGATGAATGATGTGTATGTGTCATCCATAGTAAGTATAGTAATATTCCCCCATAGTAAGCATAGTAATTCATCCCCCATATAGTAATTCATCCCCCATATAGTAATTCATCCCCCATAGTAATTCATCCCCCCTATAGTAATTCATCCCCCCTATAGTAAGTCCCCCCTGTGTCAATTTACTTACCTTTGCTCCGCGCGTTCCTCTCTCGCCGTGTTCCCGCGCCGTTCCGGTCTTCAGGGCGGACTGTGAGAGGAGCCTAGCTCCCCTCACGTTCGTCACGCTGCCCCGCCTACAGACATCCTGACAGCCTCACATCACGCTCCGCAGGCTGGATTAAAAGGTCCGCCGGGCCGTAGTTTGCCCATTGCTGACATAGTGGATCATACCTAAATTTCCAGTTAGAGATCAACAGGGCCCTTTTGTATCCAGAAGGTGCTGCGCCCCAAACCCCTATCCCAGATGCAGTTAGCCGTCTGCATGAGAGACATTTTCCCGATACCATTTCTGGTACCCAAACCCAAAGAAGACCCCAAAAAAGATGTGTCTGCAGTAAACGTGGAATTTGGGCGTGACAGCCGCTATTGTTTGTCCCTCCTGTCCTGGCCAACCTGGCCTCTGCGTCAAGCCCTACTTCTGCCTCTACCATACACTAGTTGACTATTAGTATAGGGTACAGCATGGCACAGTTTAGGGCACATTTACACAGGGTCTCGAAAGATGTTAGGTAGTCAGGAAACTGGCTATCGCATTTGGAGAGACCCTACCAGCTGTTTTAAAAATGTTTAAAGTTTGAAAAAAAAAAAAGTTTAAAAAAAAAAAAAATCTAAAAAATACAAATCCCCCCAAAAAAAATAAAAAAATGTAAAAAACCAAAAATAGTTATAGTTTTTTTTTGTTGCTGTCATTTTCGTGATTGTTCTACTTTTACTGTTTTATTGTTACAGTTTTATTGTTAACCATTTCTGTTTGCAGGAATGCTTTCAGCTGCAGCACTGATCTGTTTATTCTGACAGCAACAGGAACTTGCTCTCAGAATAGACATAAGTCAGCGCGAGCAGCGCTGTTGGATGAGATTTTTCATCCGCAGTTAAAAAAAAGAGAATATATGCCAAAGCATGGGGGCCTGGGGTGGCCAGTGGGTGGATGGCCCCTATGCTTTGGCATATATATATTTTATATTTGTTGGCACATTTCATGTGTGCCCACCATTAGAAGTGGGTGGATGCAGGGGAGGTTTCTAATGGTGGGCATACCACCACACACTTTTCCTTGCAGAGATATTTCAATTATAAAGTTGTTTTATTGAGTTTATGTTTTATTGTTAACCATTGTTGATTTATTTGCAGGAATGTCAAACTGCAGCACTGACCTGTTTATTCTGACAGCAACAGGGTCTTGCTTTCAGAATAGACATAAGTAGGTGTGTGCAGTGCTGACAGATGAAAATTTTCAGCCGCAGTTAAAAAAAAAAAGAGAATATATGCCAAAGCATGGGGGCCTGGGGTGGCCAGTGGGTGGATGGCCCCTATGCTTCGGCATATATATTTTATATTTGTTGGCACATTTCATGTGTGCCCACCATTAGAAGTGGGTGGATGCAGGGGAGGTTTCTAATGGTGGGCATACCACACACTTTTTCTGGCAGAGATTTCTTCTCTTTTTTTACATTCAGCCCACAGGCTGCATAAAGAAAAAAAGAACATAGCATATATACACCAACAAGGACCAGCGACATACTGGTACATCACTGGACTTTGCATGGTTATTACCAGGGTGATGGTATGATCATCCTGGTATAATTTTTTTCAGCCGGCAATGGGCTTTCATATAAAAAGCATTCCTAGTGGTTAATTAGCTGCAGGATTGCCTTTACAAGCAGTGGGACCTTTACAAGCAGCGGGAGAAAATGCCCCCCCTCCCCCTCCCTGAGATAGCATTAAAAGTGATAAAAAAAAAAAAATTAAAGGGGACAGTGTAAAAATAATTAAATAAAAATCAAAAAAAAAGGAAAAAAAAAAAAAAAAACCCTCGCCCATCCGCGCACGCGCACACCTGCGGTCGTGAGCGTTGACCGTGTGTGCCAGTATGGAAACAATGATTGCACCATGCATGTGAGGTATCGCCATGAACGTCAGATCAAGGGCAGTAATTATAGCTCTAGACCTCCTCTGTAAATCTAAAATGGTAGCTTGTAAAGGCTTTTAAAGCATTGCCTATAGATATTAAAAATGTATGCAGTTTGTCGCCATTGCACAGGGCATACATAATTTTAAAGCATGTCATGTTTGGTATCTATTTACTCAGCATAGCATCATCTTTTATATCATACCAAATAATTGGCCAATATTTGATTTTTGTGCATTAAAATTAAAAGAAGTGAATATTTTTTTTAAAAAAAAATTGCGTTTGAAAAATCGCTGTGTAAGTAATATGTGAGATAAAAAATTGCACCACCCACCATTTTATTTACTAGGGTGTCTGCTCTAAAAAAATATATAATGTTTGGGGGTTCACTTTAATTTCCTAGCAAAAATACTGATTTTTTTCATGTGAACAAAAAGACTTGGTCTTCAGGTGGTTAGAAGAGTGAATGATGTGTGGCATAAACTTCTAATGCTGGGCATAAAATGCCCCACCATCCCTCAAAATGACCCCTTTTTGGAAAGTAGTCACCCCAAACTATTTGCTGGGAGGAATGTTGAATCAATAGAAGAATTTCTTTTTTTACCACAAGTTTTTGGAAAATGACAAAAAAAAAATTACACAAAATTGTCATTGAAATTGCTACTTCTCCCGAGTATGGGGGTGCCACATATGAGAGACTTTTTGGCAGTCTAGCCAAGTACAGGACCCCAACATCCTATAAGCACCTTCAGGCTTTTAAAGGGCTTTATTTCCTCATTACACTTCCTGACTACCTATCACAGTTTCGGAGGCCCTGGAATGCCAGAATAGCACCAAACCCCCCCAAATGACCCCTTTTTGGAAAGTAGACACCCAAAGGAATTTGATAAGAAGCATGGTAAGTATTTTGAAGATCTCATTTGTTGCCACAAGTTTTTGGAAAATGAAGAAAGAAAATAAAAACATATTTTTCTTTTCTTTTTTATATTTCAAAACCTTGTGAGAAAAAATGAGATCTGCAAAATACTTACCATGCCTCTTTTTAAATTCCTTGGAGTGTCTACTTTCCAAAAAGGGGTCATTTGGGGGGGGGGGGTTTGGTGCTATCCTGGCATTTCAGGGCCTCCGAAACTGTGATAGGTAGTGGGGAAGTGAAATGAAGAAGTTACGCACCTTCAGGCTTTCAAAGTGGTCATTGGATTTCAGGCTCCTGTATGTGGCTAGGCTCCCAAAAAGTGTCACACGTGTGGTATCCTCATACTCGGTAGAAGTAGCAGAATGTATTTTGGGGTGTAATTCCACATATACCCATGGCTTGTGCAAGAAATAAATCATTTAAATGACAATTTTGTGTAAAAAAAAAAAACAAAAAAAAAAAAAAGTTTGTCATTTTCCAGAAACTTGTGGAAAAAAAAAAAATCTTCCATGGACACAATATGTCTCTCAGCAGATAGCTTAGGGTGTCTGCTTTCCGAAAAGGGGTCATTTGGGGGTGTTTGTTCTATCCTGGTATTTTAGCACCTCAAGAGATGTGATGGGCGGTCAGAAAGTAAAAGCTGTGTAAATTTCAAATTATCTATACCATAGTTTGTAGACGCTATAACTTTCACACAAAGCAATCAATATACACTTATTGGGATTTTTTTACCAAAAACATGGAGCAGAATACATTTTGGCTTAAATTTATGACTAACTTTGAGTTTACGATATATTTTTTATAGCTGAAAGTAGAAAATATTGTTTTTTTTTTCAAAATTTTTGTGTTTTTTTTGTTTATAGCGCAAAAAATAAAAAGCGCACAGGTGATAAAATACCACCAAAAGAAAGCTCTATTTGTGTGAAAAAAAGGACGTAAATTTCGTTTGGGTACAGCATTGCATGACCGCGCAATTATCATTTGAATTAGTGCAGCGCCAAACAGCAAAAAAAGGCCTGGTCATTAAGGGGGGTAAATCCTCAGGAGCTCAAGTGGTTAACCACTTCCAGTCCGGACTCTTTTACCCACACTGGGACCATGAAAGGCTTTCCAAATAGATAAAATGAGAGAAAATGAATGTTAAAAAAAATAAACAAAGCCCAAAAAAAAAAAAAATTTGGTAACATCCATTTATCTCATGTCCAGTACTACATAGTCATGCTGAAAGACGCACTTGGCAGAGGTAAGCCTCGAACC